TACCACCTACCCCGACGTCGTCCGCCACAGGGTAGGCCACCCCTCTCCTAATAGGTTCCCTCTTCTCAGGATTCTTTGCAATGCTCCAGTCTAAGCCGGCCTCCTCCTTCTTCAAACCCCCAATTAGCTCCGTGGGGCCATAGACCCGCTCCCAAAGGCCTCACTAGATCCCATGCTTTACCTTCATCGCTTTTCTGGCCCCACCAAGTCCCCAGGAGGAACACCCATGGTTGAAGGACCCACTATTTTAGCATCTTCTCCTGTAAGATTAGAGATGTTGCTCCCTAGCCACCCCAGCTGTCCCAAAGGCCTATTGTTGCTGTGTGCCATCAGTCAGAACTGACCCATTGTTGACCCTCCAGCGGGTTTTCCGAGGCAGTAAGTCACATGAGAGGAGATTGTCCATCCTTCTCCTGCAAAGAAGCTGATGGATTTGAACTAAAATCGTGGGGATAATTTTGCCTTGAGAGCTGCAACCAGCAGAGATGCGTTCAGAGCTCCACTGACCACCATGCTAGGGCCCACAGCCAGTCATGTCAGCAGTGATGTGTGAGGAGGCCCTGGATCACAGCCTACCCTACCTACTCTTTGAATGAACTGCAGATGTATCTTGGCGAGGACACCACCTAGCCAACACTTGCTGGATTCTCATCAGGCTCTGGTTCCACAACTTCCAAAATAAACTCCCTTTTTGTCTATACTTCAGACAGGCCATGGAAACACAGGGCTCTAGGAGATGAGAACCTTCCCTGAATCCCTGCCCTCTCTTCATGAGAGCAGCTACTTTCATCCTCTTCCACCAGAAGCCCAAGAAAAGGGAGACAAATTCAGAGACTCAGGACTTCCTGGGCTAGGACCTGAGCTGCCCAGTCATTCATGGAGGCCCTCTAGCCTCACTGCATTTAGCAAACCATAAAATGACCAGTAAATTGTTGTTGTTGTTTTGTGCTGCCAAGTCGCCTGCGACTCATAATGGACCCTAGGTACAACAGCTCTGAAGCCTGCCCTGTCCTGAGCTGATCTCACAGACTCCAACAGACCTACCCCATTGCCCCAGTCACTGTTTCAATCCATCTCACCTGGAGTCCTCCTCTCCTGCACTGTTTCTCCACCCTTCTGAAAATGATGTCTTTCTCCAAGGACTGGTCCCTCCTGGCCACGTGCCCAAAGTATGTGAGACAGAGCTTCAAAATCCTAACCTCCAAGGAGAAACGTGGTCTCACCCTGTCCAAGATAGACATATTTATTTTCTTGGTGGTCCATGGTATGTTCAAGACTCTTCTCCAGCACCACAACTCAAAGGCATCGATTCTTCTTCTGTCATCTGTAGTCATTGTCCAACTCTCTGATGCATGCAAGTAATGGCAAAGACCATGGCCTGGATTTTACTAACCCAAGCCTGAGAAGTGTGGGGAAAGAGACCAAGGCTGACTCTGCAGGCTGCAGGGATCCCTACCACTAATGTGTTTAGCGTCTGTCCTGGTCAGCCTTGTCGGACCCCCATAGAGGTTAGGCCCCATTGGGGGAGCAGAACTGGCATAACACTTGTGCACATGTGTCCACTCTCACGCATACGCAGAATGATGAGCATTGTAGGAGGAGACCAGTGCCTGATCAGGTCTGGAGCCTGCTGAAGTATGTCCCTCTGGTCTGGACATGTGTCAGTGGGCATTGCCCTTGGTATGTTAGATCCTCCAGTGTGTGAGGAACTGGAGGAAAATGAGAAACCTGCTGTGTGGAGGAAGGAGACAGCACAGGCCTCCACCCATCACAGTGGACACAGAATAGTCACAGGGAACTGTGAGAGGGAGAGCCACTGTGAAATTGAAGGTGTTCAACAGACCTGGTCAGAGATGTTCCAAACACACGCTTCCCCAGGGTCAGTGATCTTGTATGAGTCTCACCTGACCTGCGAGGACCCTCCACCTAGCCCATAGATTGCCTCCAGAGCCTGCAGTTTCCATCTATCTGCCCCAAGTAACTGAGGCAGGACCATGGGGCGGGGCTAACCTCAGCCTAGACTCTGGGTGAGAAGCCTGCCCTCCTAAGTCAGGAAAACATGCAGGAACACAGGGGGCACCGTCCTGAACTGTGCTCACTCTGCTGCTAACAGACTCCAGTTATAGATTCATGTTGCTTCAGGTGCTGCTCCATAGCACAGTGGGCACAGTCCTTACCCTCAGTTAGTCCCCACATGGGAGGATGGTGAGGAAGGGGTGCTGTGACACCTTGTGTCCTCGGTGGTTTTAGGGTTCTGGTGCCTGCGCCGGGGGGAGCATGATGATCCCTATAGGAGAGGGCAGCTGCCCACCTGCCTCGCTTCCCTGAGATTGATCCTACAGATGCCCAGAGTGGGCCAGAGGACACTCTCTGATCCTCCAATGTCACTGCACTCAGGGGACTGGAGCAGGACCTTGCCAGGCTTCAGGTCCTCACAGAGATGGGGTCATAGGAGGGTCCTCACCACTGGTGTGGTGAATGATCTGCAGAGGTGCAGGGCCTCCTGGTGGGACTGGGTGTTTCAGGAGACCTGGACTACGCAAGGTCAGTTTGGCATTGCTGCTCAGGAGGTGCTGGCCACAGGTTCTGGTGAGAGGTCAGGTCAACTCCTGGACCTTGCATTGGAGCAGGGCAAATGTCAGCAGATGATGCCCCTATACCCCTGCCCCTTGGCCCTCGAAATCAGCCTTCTTTGTGTCCCTTCCCTGTGACACCATGCCGGGCACTCTGCTGAGGGCTGGTTTGTACAGATGCTCCCCAGGGTCCAGATTAAGAAAGGGGTCACCTGAGTCCAAGGCAGCACTATCCCTAATTATAGCTGGCTTTGTGCATCCGCTTCATCCTCCTGAGAAGATTCTAGAGGTGCAGGGAGACGGGAGGCTGGGGTGGATGGGGCAAGTTTGCAGGGCATGGACAGTCCCATCTAACGGCAGGAACTGATTACTCCCTGTGACTGTCACAGGACTGTTGTGATGGCATCCCTCTCCCCTCCGTCGGCAACACCACTGCAGATGGCTGTGCATGCCGTCTCCTCTGTCCTGTGTGTGTGCACGTGGCCTCCTCTATATCTGTCTGCTTCTCTGCTTGAGGCTGGAGTACAGCACTGACACCTGGGTGAATATCTGGGTGTGAATGAACCACAAAACTTAGGCACTAGAAACGGAAACCAAGGATAAGCTCCGAGCAGGTAACAGAGGTCACAGGTGGACTCTCTGCATCTCACAGCTGAGGCGCAGGGTCTAACTCACATGAGGAGGCTCTGGGGGAAAATCCCCTCCTGAGCTCACTCTTGTCCTTGGCAGGATCCAGGTCCTTGTGGCTGTGACTCTAAGGTCCCTTGGGTTGCTGCCTGTCAGCTCCTAGGCCTCTTCACAGGCCCTGCACCCTGGTCTTTTCCACCCTTTCATTGAGCCTCTCAAATTCCCCTCTGATAGGTGCCAATAGCCACACCTTGGCGACCTTTCTCCCCGCCCCGGTGGACACAGTGGTGGCTGCAGGAGTGTGTGGGTCACTGCTGCAGGCGGGGGGTGTGTGTGGGGGTGTGTGTGTGAGCCATGGGGGGGTTGTGTGTGTGTGTTGGGGGATGGCTGCAGTGTGTGTGTATTTGCGTGTGTGGGTGCTGTGGTGTGGATGTTGGCGGCAGCTGTGGTGTGTGTGAAACATAAGGGATATGAACTTCATAAGTAAAACAGTATAAAATAAATTTTTTTTAAATGATCACTTGACTGTGCAGGTGTGCACAGCAGGTGTGCTGTATAGCAGGTGTGTGAAATGAATGTGTGTGTGTGTGTGTAGCAGGGTGGTGTGAACAATGGGTGTGCTTGTACAGCAGGGGGTGTATACAGCAAGGGTGGACAGCAGGTGTGTATGAGTGTGTGTGTATGGAAGGTGTGCACAGTGGCGTGCTTGTGCAGTGGGGTTGTGTACACTGGGTATGTATAATGAGGTGTGTGTACATCGGAAAGTATACAGCGAGTATGCACAGTGTATGTGCTTGTACAGCAGGGAGAGGGAGGGGTGCACAGCAGGTGTGTGTGTCTCAGGAATCACCCTAGGATTCACTGCCAGAGTCCTTCTGCTCATCCTTTTTTAAGTTTTTTTTTATTGTGTATGTACCATCGAGTCTGATCCGACTGGCACAGGAGATTGCCCCTCCTTCTTCAGCAAAGCATCTGGTTGATTCAAACTGTTCGCCTTCGTGATCACAGCACAGCTTCTTGCCACCAGGGCTCTGCCACAGTCCTTCTGGACCCACCATCCACCAGACCCTTCCCTCCTCAGCACCTTGGAGCCCACCTCAACTCCCCAGAGGGCCCTGGGCCTAGTCCCTGCCATGGTTCTTGCACTTCACACTGCCTTGTCTTATTGCTCCATTACTGCCCTTTGTAGGTCAGGTCTCCGGTGCTCAAGACCATGGTGAGACAGTCCTTTCAAGAAAGGCCAGCACTTGGCGAATGCAGAGGGCCTCCTCCAGGGAAAAAGGAGGCTGGACTAGCTACCCTCACCCAGGGCTCACCTTCGGCTGGGGCCTGGCACCAGTGACTGCACCCTGAGGCCACATGGTAAGAGAGCAGTAGAGCTGGGCTTGGAATCAATTGTCTGTCTCACTTGAAAACCCATGACCCAGCCCTTTTGCTACCCAGAGATCCCCCTCCTGCGCCCTTCCAGGCGCCCCCACACTTTGCTCCACCCCCAGCTTTTTCTTAGTCCCAGACACCTGACCTACATCTCTAGCATCCCCAGTCCCCAGGAAAACTAAGCGGGGCGGTGGGCATCGTGTCAGGTTGCCGGGGTTGGGGGCCACCCTGGTTCCTGGCAAGCTCTGCGCGCACCTCTTCTCCCGCCTCTCCCCTCCTCCTCTTCCCTCGCGCTCCCCTCCCCCCACCCCTCCATCCCTCTGACGGCCGCAGCCCCTGCGCACCGCGTCGCGTCTCCTCCCCTCCTCCCTCCCCGCCACTGCAGCATTCACCACTGCAGCTCCAGCCGCGCCCGCTCCGGCCTCCGCAGCCGCCGCCGCCCGCAGCACCATGGCCAGCACCGTGTCCGGTGAGCGGGTGGGGAGGGTCCGCAGGGCCTGGGCAGCCTCCCTGCAGCTTCAGGGCCGGTCACCGGCCGGGTTAAGGGCCCCGCCACTGCACGGAGCAGCAAAGAGGGGCCCAGGCTCAGAGCGCGGGTTTGGAGCGTCCTGAGAGGGGTCTGTGGCGCAGGAGAGGGCGGATGAGAAGGGAGGTGCTCGGGGTCCGATGCTGCGGGGGCCCCAAGGACGTGGGGGGGGGCGGGTCTGCAATGTGCGGGCAGGACCTCCTGAGCCCCGAGGACCTCAGCCTTTACGGGACTACTGCGGCCCTGCGCGGGTATGAGATGGACACCAAGGCCGGAGGTAAGGGGCATTGCGGGCGGACGTGGAGTAGGCAGGTGGAACTGTCCGCGCCCGCACCTGGTGTAGACGCCCCTCACCATAGGTCCTTGGGGCTACCTCTGCGACGCCAGCGCCAAAGTCACCACCCCCTGCACCTCTGGGATATAGGCAGGGGAAGGGTGCGGGGCCCCCAGGCCCCCAGTCTGCAGGCCGCCCCGCCCCCGCCCCACCCATTATACAATGCCTACCCCCAACGTTGCTGTGGACCCCAGCGCGCGAGGGCAGTGTCCGCCCTGCGCTCCCCCAAACCCGGGGACTCAGGAGAAGCTGCCGGGCGGCGCAGGCGCGAGGACTCGAAGGCTTGGCCTTCCCTGAGGACGTGCTGCCATGTCCACTTACCTCATCTTTACACTGAGCCTAGGTCACGGTCGAAGGTCACTAGGTCAGGAGGGCCCCTACCTGCCTCCCTAACACTCTCCCTCCACTTGCAGGCCACCTGAGCCACCATGTAGCCCCACACCATAAATCAGGTGGCAGGGGTGTGCTGACCACTGTGTCACTGGCCACATTTCACCCTGTTTAGGGGTCCTGTCCTTCAGAGCTTCACCTAATATCCTCCCTCCCAATTCCCTCTGCCCCCATTAGGCAGGCTTCCAACTGTGAGGATCCCCATTCTCTACCCCCTGCCCTGGCAGCCCAGGGGCTCTGTCCTTGGCAGGTCTGTGTGCTGTGCAGTCAGAGGCAGTGGGCAGGAAGTGGGTGGGCACCTTCTTCTCATTCACCCTTAAGGAGAACCTTTCTCAGAAGGTATCATTCCTGCTATCTGCACTCCGTGTGAGGTGGAGAGGGGGAGATGGGGGGCTGTGAGGACTCCCCTGCCACACCCACCTGCTGTGGCCATCAGGGCCTCCAGGTTTCCCTGCCTCGCTTGGGCACCACTGACCCATATAGTCAGTCACAGGATTGTTATGGAGGAGGCCTGGTGGTGCAGTGGTTAAAGATCTTTACTATTAGCTGAAGGTCATTGCTTTGACACCCCTTCCCCCAGCCTCCTCTCCAGACAAAGCGAAGGAGTGTGCATCCATGGAGACCCCAGCCTTGGCGCTGAGTTGGATCCAACACTTGACCACTGGGTTTTGGTCTAAGTGTTCACAGTTGAGGGGCCTGTGGTTTTTCCTTTTATCTTAAAAGTGTTTCCAAAATAACAAAATCCAAGCCATCATCTCTGGGACCCAGAAGGGAGTCACAAATGCTACCTGCTAGTTTGTGGCATAACCACTGCCATTCATGTGCCATGGTGCCACATGCCTCAGGCCTTCCTGGCACCTGACCATCATGCCGCCTTTGACAGGCCAGCTGGCTTGTGTCTGAACCTCTGCCCACCTTGAGCTTCTCCCATCCAAAGAAGTTCATCAGAGTGAATGTGACCTCAGTACTAGTTTTGGCAACAAGGTGTCTGGTCAGAGAAGGACCTCCATTCTGTAGAAGGGCCTGCTCTGGGTGGGGGGATATGATATAGTGATTTCACTTCACTGTGGAACTGTCTTTGCTTCCTCTTGCTGCATCCTGAGAGGTCCCCTGTGCCACCCCTGCAGTGGCCATCTCAAGGAGCGCTTCATCTTTCTTTCTCCTGGAAAGAATTGAACTGTCCTGGCATCCTGCTGGGGTGGGCTGTTCCTGCTCCACTCTGAACCTGATGCAGTCAAGCTGTGTGGTCTGGCATGTGTTTGTCCAGCCCAGGGGCCTTGTTCCTGTTAGTGCCAGGGTGGGAAGATGGTAGTAATGCCCCTAGAAGTTGTTCCTGGGATTATGAAGGCTCTGCCAGGAACGAGCCTGTCCCACCCCCTTTCCAGGCCCCTTTCCAAGCAGTAGTGAGGCTTGGCTCACATACTGGACTTGCTGCCTGAGAGTCTTTCACTTTCTTTGAGCCTCATTTTCATCTGGTAGAAGGTGACAGAGATGTCATGTTTGCTGACTAGTTCTGAGGGTCAGCTGAGATGACAGATGTAAGCCCCCACCCCTGAGGGCCACTCCAGTTATTGTGATCCTGCTGTGTGGGCTGGCCCAAGCCCTTGCCAACTCCCACATGTGTTGGAGCTACCCATCTTTGGGGAGGGGAGTGTAGTTTTGCATAGTTAACACCTAATATCAATGGGAAGAGGGACATAGAAGAGGAGCTGGCAAAGAAGCTTCTTTTCGGTGGATGCCTGGGCCAATGGAAGAGAAAGGAGGGAAGCCTGGGGCCTATGCTGCTTTGAGTGGTCCCTCAAGACAGAGAAGGGGTACAGTTCCAGAGAAGAGGAGGCGTTCCCAAGAGAGGTGGCTCAGGAGTGTCTGGACATGGCTCCCTCTCCTATGCAGTGAAGGACAGCACGACTTTCAAGCCCCCATCCCAGGCCCTGAGAATATAAGTCCTCCAGCTTCCTGTTTGCTCTTGGGGTCTGGCTTCCTCTGCCAGCCGCTTGTGGAGTCTCTAATAGCTCACCTTCTTCCAGGTATGCCTGTGCCCCATATGCCAACTTCCTCCTATCCTTGCTTCCCTCCTGCAGTCAAAACCCCAGGACAGAGTTTCACCCCAGGCCCTTGCTGAGAGTACCACTATCCCTTAATTTCTTGAGTCATGGGCTTCTAGAGGTGCGATTTGCACAGCCAGCCCGTGAGAAACCTGGCAGGAAGCCTGAGTGCCCAAAATGCTAAATCACACCCATTTCCAGCTAAACAGCACCACCCTCCTGCCTCAGACCTGTTTGTTCCCAGTCAGCGCACTGACCTCATTACTGCTCTCTGTCTCTTCTCTCCTGACCATGCAGGTACTCTTACTGTCACTCTCCAGCCCCAGGTGACAGCCCTCTTGGCCTTTGAACACCACTTCTCCCTCTTAATGGCTTGGCGGCATCTGCCCTATGACATGGTGGCTGTAATGCCGGGCTCAAGCATGACAGAAGTCATGACGATGGTGCAGGGTGGGGCATGGTTATGAGGCTTGGAGAGAAGCCAACTCAACAGCACCTAACTGCAACTCCTGTGAAAAGTTTGGGCTGGGGTCAGGCACTGCAAGGGTGTCTGACTGTAAGTGAACTCGCATGGGCTCCTGATGTGTTATGGGAAGGGATAGTGTCCAAGGTCAGTGCTGGAGGAGGTTTCAGCTAACGTGGAGGCAGTGCTGACACACTGGGCTGGAGGGCCCAGTCCCTTCCTCTCTGGCCTCACTTAGGATCCAGCTATCCTGCTCCAGCGCAGACCTCCCCCCCTTACCCTCACATTGTGAAAGTGTGATTGAAAGGACACAGATTCCAAGTACCATTTTGCCCAGGCCCAGGCCCAGTCCTGTCAAATGAGTTGTCAAAGTCAAGCTAATGGCAAGGGAGATATGGACCAGACAGTGTCTGCTTTTGGCCTGGGCTCATTATGAATGGGTGCTAAACAATCTCTATTTTGAAAGTGGGTACCTTCCAGTCTCCTGGCAGGGACCAGGGTCATGGGAGCCAGGCTTGATTCCTTGGGAGCATGATACACGATGGTTGTCTTGGTGCTGAATGGACAGTTCTTCACTCTGACTTGGGTGGAGTCTGCAATGAGCCCAGCAAGTACCTGGGGAATGAGTGGTGAGGAGACTGGGTGCCCAATAGGTTGTCAGGGTAAACTTGTGGTGAAGAGGGTCTGAGGCTTTAGTTCCAAAAGGGTTGTCCACTGAGACTGTAAAGAATGGCTTCACATCTGCACACCTAGTCCTGAGGGCCTGTCCTGGGGAGTATCTGTGAGTCAGAGGGAGGGAGGAAGTCTATGAGAGACAGAGGGAGGATAAAGAATCAGAGATACACAGTGACAGAGAATCACACTCAAGACACAGAAATAAAGAGATAGAGGTAGGGTTAGAAAGACACAGAGGAAGGTGAACAGTTACAGAGCAAAAGAAGCAGAGGGAGATACAGCAACATAGATGAATGAGATAATTACCAGGAGAGGGAAAATGAGGCAAGAGTGAGACAGACTCAGAAAGGCAGAGAAAAGGAGAGAAAGAAACAGAGACAGAGAGAGGTAGAGGAAAACACAGGGAAACACATAGGAAGCAGATCCAGAGAAAGACAGTCTCTTGGGGTAAGCAGGGGAGAGGAGAGAGGGAGGAGTGGAGGGAAAGTCAGAGAGATTCAGATGCACACAAGACAACAGATGTAGGGACAGAGCTGGAGGGCAGAGGGCAGACCCTGCTCACCCAGAGGGGAGGCAGGCCCCTAGGGTGGGCTAGTCCTCATATCTGGCCTCCCATTGCAGCCTACAAGGAGAAGATGAAGGAGCTCTCTGTGTTGTCACTCATCTGCTCCTGCTTCTACTCACAGCCACACCCCAACACCATCTACCAGTATGGGGGTGAGTGTCCCTGGGCTGGCAGTGCCTTCTTCCCACCTCCTTTACTTCCTGAAGTCCCCTGGCCTGGCTGAAGACTGATGTGCCTGGGGGAGGGGCGCATCCTGGGACCCAGATCTGGGGAACCCTGGGTGAACTGGCCAACATGTGTAGGAGCAGCATCTGGTTCCCCTGCAGACATGGAGGTAAAGCAGCTGGACAAGCGGGCCTCTGGGCAAAGTTTCGAGGTCATCCTCAAGTCCCCATCTGACCTGTCTCCAGAGAGCCCCGTGCTCTCCTCTCCCCCTAAGAAGAAGGATGTCTCTTTGGAGGAACTGCAGAAACGGCTGGAAGCAGCCGAGGAGCGGAGGAAGGTAGGGAGACTCCCCCACTGGTGTGTGAGGAGGGACCCAGGGCACAGGTGTCTGTGGTAGGAGGGACTCCTGCATCCTCACGACCCCCCTCCTGACAGGTGAGGAAGAGACAAGAGGAAGCGCTCCTCTCAGGTGGCAGCTTGTGGAGCAGGGTGGGAGCGATCCTGTCTTGAAGACACTCTAGGCTGTTTCTGGGAGGGGTCAGGTGATGGCTTGTGGGGATGCTGAAATGTGCAAAGAGCAGTGGGCCCTCAGGCCTGTGCCCTGTGCCCAAGCAGAGAGAGTGGTTTTGTCTGGTCTAGGAACCCAGCCTGGCAGGCTTCAACAGCAGGGACAGCTTAAGTGTGGAGGCCACAATGAGTAATTACCCCTGGGAGTCTGTTTCCTCACCCTCCACTGGGTTTAGCAGGGCGGACTGTGCGGCGCCGGCAGCCTCACTCCCTCAGCACCATTGTACCTTCGAGCTGCCCTAATTGGAAACTCAGATCTGCTGCATGGAGGGCCTACTCCGTGCCTCGTGGCCATTCAGAAGGAGAGTCAGACAAGTGAAGCCTAAGAGCCTTGGGCAGCAGGAGGAATGGGTCCTCTGCCTCAGTGGAGCCTGCCTAGGGAGACTGCAGCTCTGCAGGGCCAAATGCAGGTGGGAACCATGCAGATGTCCAGAAGATCAGGAGGAGGTGGTCACCCTGGATGGCAGCAGAGGACAGAGGCCAGGCAGCAGGACGAGTCAGTGAAGGGCGAATTTAGGCCGGGTGCTGGGGAGAGGCAGCACAGAGGTCAGGAGGGGATTCCCTTCCTTCTCCACCCGTGCCACAACCTCAGCAGCGCCTGGGGGCGAGGCCCTGTTTGTTGGTGGCCAGGCAGAGGTGCTGGGGGCTCTGCTGCGGGCGGTGCTGGGAAGCCACGCGGCGGCAGGGGCGCCCTGGGGTGCGGTGGCTCACGCACGGCTGGCCCGTGCAGACACAAGAGGCGCAGGTACTGAAGCAGCTGGCGGAGCGGCGTGAGCATGAGCGCGAGGTACTGCACAAGGCGCTGGAGGAGAACAACAACTTCAGCCGCCTGGCGGAGGAGAAGCTCAACTACAAGATGGAGCTCAGCAAGGAGATCCGCGAGGCGCACCTTGCTGCCCTGCGGGAACGGCTGCGTGAAAAGGTGCGTGGGCAGAGCTCCGGCCGGAGGTGGGCTGGGAGCCGGACATTAGGTGGGGACATCAGGCCTCAGGTCGGGGCAGGGCTCAGGCCAGAGGCGGGGCTAAGGCCGGGGGCAGGGCGTCAGATGGAGCAGGACTCAGGAGGGGGCGGGGCTTGGACTGGGGGCGGAGCGCCGGGTGGAGCAG